TATATATCCTACATACATCCTTTCTTGGGTGAGCCTCACATATCTCTCCAGAACCTAAAAAAGCCTCCTCCAGATCCATGTTTTGACAGTGTTCATTTCTATCAAGGCTTCATTTTTCTGTGAACAGAGAGCTGATGTGCCTTATCCAAAAGTTCCAATTTCGTCTCAACTATGCATTGAATATTCTCCTAAAAACTTGGGGTCTTGCCAACGTGCAATTTGACAATTGTTAATGATATTAAAATGTGAATTTATTATTACTATATGTTTTTAAATTGCATTGTTATTCTTTTATTTTTTCAGGAACGACCAACAATTTTATCCACGTGTGTAATGATTATCCTTTTCTTTTGGTGGCGGCGCGGACACCCGCAGCGGCTCCTCTTGTTTTATGTTGAGAGGGAAGAAATTTCATCTCTGCTGTACGTTACACATACGTACAGCACATTTGACAATAAAGTTGTATGCAATTCAACTCAATTCAATTATGTGAATGGCGATGACTGTGCCATGAGACACAGGCACAACATGCATGCATACTAAATTCATACAAAGAGGCACACACAGCACCGCTTCCAACTGTGTGCAACCGCTCAGTTGTTTTAGGATTGTTAACACAGTAGCAAGTTACACATAAAATACATATTACATAGGCAACATTAGAATAAATAGATGAGGGACACTTCAACTTTGATTCGTGGGTAAAGCATTTTGGAAGAACCCCTGACAAAACACATGATGCCTACCTATGGTAAAAAAAGCTGCATACAAGGAACCATTTATGATCAGATCACACACATAGAGAATACATTGATCAGGCATCTTATGATCCAACGGATTTTGTCGTTTCCACAGATACATTCAGGTGCAACAATAAAGCTTTGCATTTGTCTAAATTCAGGTCCTATGCTTTTGAGTACTGTGTGGTGTTGTTGGTGAGCGCAATAAACATTCCCTGACTTGTACTTTCTTAGGATACTGTGTAAAAATATTGTTTTCAAACTGTTGGTGATGTCGAAGTTAGGGATCTATCCTCGAAGAAGGAACTAGTACATACATTTGTGATTCGTATGATCTCAATGACACCGTGAGCCAGTTTGGAGAAAGGCACTAGTCGTACAGTACAGAGTCGCAAGTACAGCCCGATATGGAAAAAGCCATGTCACAAAATATACAACAACAAAAATAAGTCAATACCACACTGGCTACACAATCCAAGAGTTAATCTCAGCCTACATTTCAAGATGAAATACGGATGCTAAAAAGACATGCGCAGGCGCGCGCGCACACACACACACACCAAACAAAAACAAAATGTTCAACTTCCATTACAGCAGTTTACAAATCACTTCAAAACATTATAGCAGATATACAAAGGCACTAGCATGTCGGATAGCATTTATACTCAAAGTAAAAGCCACTTCTAGTCACCAGAACTACAAGGGGGAGAGTTGCAGTCTTAAATGAGATTAATCCTCTAAATGACGGGCAGGGAACTCCGGTTCCTCGAGAGCCACATCCTGCCTGTTTTCAATCCTTCCCTACTCCAACACACTCGAGTTAAACGATCGGAATCAAGCGTTTTGGAGTTGGAGGGGAGATCTCAAACAGGCAGCACTTGGCTCTCAAGGAACCGTTGTTCCCTTCCCCTGCTCTAAATTCACAGCTACAAAGTGGCAGATAATCAGTACGTAGCAGCTTAATATCTATACATTCCAAATACAATTTGCCAAATATAGCTCAGAAAAATAAAACCTCAACCTTATTTCTAAAATAGACCTCTGAAAATATTGATTTCAATGTCAAACTGCAACAGTTTGCTGGAGGTGAAAGAATGATGAACATCCACTGTGCCTCAGACAAAAAGATTGCTGAACAATGTCTTTGGTGCGGATTGCCGTAAAGGACCAGCAGAACACGACTCGACACAAAAATTGAAAACATGAAAAGAATAGCACGGCTATGCACAATCCACCTTGAAGGAATGTAACAAAACTGACAGGCTTCAACCTAGTACAGGCCGGACGTTAAAACAGTTAACACCAGGCAGCTCAGCAAGGATACTGTAAATGACTAGATTTCAAACACTGTGAAACATTGAAAAGAATTCCTCTTTTTAAGGTTTACACCACACCCAAACATCTACAACTGCAAATCGAACTAAATGGAAAAACAAACACACGCACACACACACACAGCAACCCAGAGGCTGTCTAGATTGTATTGCGGTTACAGTAAACAGTGACAATACTGTGATGAATTAAGTACTATAGTGAGTAGAAATCGATTATCAAAATATCACATCACTCTTTATACACAATTTTTTTTAAATCATTCAGTCAAAGCCCTAAATGTGCAGCCTGTAGCTTAAGTAAAACCATACTGAGTTAGCAAGCAAACTGAAGTTGAACAATATTTCATCATATTAAAGAATCCTATTTATCCAAAAAAGCCCATCAAATTCAGAGTCTGAAGGCTAAGTGCTGCAAGCCTATTTGAACATAACCCCCCCACCCCCACTATATAGATATAAAGACTCCTGACGTGACACCTTGGACTCTGCTATTAAGGCACTGGCAGATGGCGGCAGCAGCAAAAAAAAAAAGAGAGCCTTCAATCCAAGCATGGCTTCAACAGATCTGAGTGGTACGCACATGCTACAAGACAACACAGGTGAAATGAACTGTAGCCGCGTGGCGAATTCCCAACGAAAACATGACAGAAGTTATGTGCAAAGGACACAGCCTTAAATTTTGTGATGATGTTTCATCTCATGCTCTCTCAATAAAGCGTTACATGATTCATCCGCTGGCAGACATGATTTTACAAGAAGTCTTTCTGAGCTCAAGTCGCTCCAACAATCAAACACAATTGCTGATTTACTAACCTTCAGATTCACGATGCAGTGAATTGACCTGTCCTCCGAAAACAATTTAACATTATTTCATCGGCTTGCCAAACATGTTTTCCTCTCCTGGTTACATGGGCTTGTTTTGTGCTATGCTGAAAGCTCTACTTGTCCATGCCGCAGCCCCACTGCGTTTGCCGTTGGCCTTTGTGACCCATGGGGTGACCCATCGGTACTGCTGCGGCCGCACTTTTCTCCTCATATGTACGAGAACTGAGGATGGTGGCTGAGTTTGGTGGGACTCAGAGGGAAGCCCGTGTAGGTGGCGGGCGAAGCCATATATGGGTGAGGAGGGGGAAGTGGCGGGTGGAAGGCGGCCTTGAACTGATGGGGGTGGTGAACATAGCCAGGCTGCTGGTGTGGGTGGACCGTTGGTGAGGGAAGGAGCCTGTGATAGCCAGGATGCTGAGAATGGCTGCTGATGCCCATGGTCACCTGGTGAACTATAGCGCCCCCTTGGCCGTGGGAGAGGCCGTAGCTGTGCTGAAGTAGAGGAGCAGGATGAGAGGTCAACATTGGGTGGGGGGCTGTGGTAAGGGGTCCGCTGGGAGGGTAAGATAACAGGGCGTGTGTGGCTGGGGCACCTAACTTGTGCTTGGGGCTGCTGTGCGGCAGGTGGGGGAAGTTGTGTGCATGGACAGTGGGGGGGATAAAGGCGTGAGGTCGCAGTGGCGCATAGTTGCCGTTCCATTCTTTGATGCTGTGGTTTGAAACATATGGCTGCACCTAAAGCAGGACATATGATAATTACAAATTCAATGATCAGAAAACCTCAAATCAATCATAGTCTGCTAAGGAACAACTGCAATGAAACACATCCAATACATCAGGGGTCCCCAACCGCCGGTCCGCGGTCCGGTACCATTTGGTACCGGGCCGCGGAGAATAAAATAAATAATTTATTAATGACCGCATTTTGGCCGAATTAACTTTGGCCTGTGCCCCTTGACACAACAATATGCCTGTCTACTCTCAAAATAGCAGTGGTTCTTAACCTGTATTCGATTGAACCCGGTTAATTCACGTTTTTTTGCATCCCCCCGGGTTCGGTGAGCCGATCTCGGTGGTTCGACGGAGTTTCTGCCACAGAGGGTAAGACACACGCGACTCAATACGTGAATTCGTTATGACACGCACGCTTGGCCATCATTGGCTGTAAAGATATTGCTTGTCCAATCAGTGCTGTGGGAAATTTAGTTCGCTCACGCCCGACACATTTATTCGCACAAATTAGCCTCCACTAGCGAAAATGAGTGAAAAACAGACGTCCTTGGACAGCTTTTTTACGGGGAAAAGGGCATTTGACGAGCCCCAAGATGAGCCCACAACCTTGAAAAAAACAAAATCTGCTTTTAACAGACAATACCAAGAATCCTACCTAAGGTATGGGTTTGTCGCAACAGGTGACTCTCTGGCGCCAAGTCCACTCTGCATTATATGTGGCCAAAAGCTCGCGAATGAGGCAATGAAGCCTTCAAAGTTGCTCCGGCAAATCAAGACTAAGCACACTGATTAAAAAATAAACCTTTGGATTTTTTTGAAAGAAAAAAGAGCGAGCACGAAGGACAGAGACAATTCCTGAGGGCCACCACATCAACAAATTGGAACGTACTTAAAGCATCGTACCTCGTGGCGAACCACATTGCTAAAGCCAAGAAACCTTCCACGATTGGAGAAGAGCTTATTTTGCCTGCGACCAAGGATATTTGCCGTGAAGTTTTGGGAGAGGCTGCAAAAAAAACCTCTTTCTGCGCCCACCATAAAAAGACGCATCGATGATGTGTCGGCCGACATATCATCGATGTGGAGCAGTTGCTGGAGAGAATTAAAAAGTCACCATGGTACGCGATTCAGGTGGATGAGAGTACTGATATTGACAACAAGGCAACAGTGCTTACTTATGTGCGATATATTCATCAGGAGGACGTGCATGAGGACATGCTATGTGCACTGTTGTTGCCAACAAACACAACGGCTGCAGAAATATTCAAGTCCCTGAATGATTATTTTTCCGGAAGACTGAGCTGGTCATTCTGTGTCGGTGTGTGCACAGACGGAGCTGCTGCTATGACAGGACGGCTGTCTGGTTTAACCACTCGGATTAAGGAGGTAACACCTGAATGTGAACCCACGCACTGTGTCATTCACCGAGAAATGCTGGCTAGTCGAAAAATATCAGCTGAGCCTCACAACGTATTGAATGACGTTGTGAAAATTATTAACCTCATCAAAGCCCATGCGCTCAACTCCCGTCTGTTCGAGCAGCTTTGTGAGGAGATGGATGCTACGCACAAATGCCTTCTTTTGTACACAGAGGTAAGATGGCTATCCAGGGGGAGATCATTGGCCAGAGTGTTTGAGTTACGAGAGTCGCTGCAGAGATTTCTCTCCGAGAAGAACTCGTCACTGGCAGCTCATTTCAGCGACAAGGACTGGGTCATCAAACTTGCTTACCTGTGCGACATATTTAATCTGCTCAATGAATTAAATTTGTCACTGCAAGGAACAAGAACAACAGTATTTAAGTTGGCAGATAAAATAGCTGCATTTAAAGCCAAATTGGAATTGTGGGAGCGGCGAGTGAATGGAGGGATCTTTGACATGTTTCATACAGTTGCGGGGATTCTGAAAGACACATCACCTGAACGCGCATTCTCTCAGCTGATTGGCAAACACCTGTCGACACTTTCACAAGAGTTTGAGCACTACTTCCCAAGCACGAAAGACCCACGGACTGCGAAGGAGTGGATTCGTGACCCATTTGTGAACAAGCCAAGCGATTTGAGCATGTCTGTGCAACAGGAGGATCAGCTTGTTGAAATAGCAAATGACGGCGACCTCAAACGTACATTTGAGACAAACACTCTCCCAAGTTTTTGGATTAAAGTCATTCCGGAATATCCTGACATCGCTACAAGAGCGCTGAAAAACCTTGCTTCAATTTCCAACGTCCTATCTGTGCGAAGCGGGCTTCTCTGCAATGACGGCAACCAAGACAAAGTTACGGAGCAGGCTGGACGTAAGGAACACGTTACGTGTCTCACTGTCTCCCATCACACCGAGATGGGACCATCTGGTCTCATGGAAACAAGCTCTGGCCTCCCACTAATTCGGCGGGGGAGTTATATTTTCCCTTTATTTGTTTTTAGCCACGTCGTGTTTTTTATTTGCTATATTTTTCTACTACACCTTGCTGGTCCGTGAAAAAAAAGACCCAACTCATACCGGTCCGTGGTGCAAAAAAGGTTGGGGACCCCTGCAATACATGCAATAATCTCAGTGAAACTCCAGCTACAGCAGTGCTTCTCAAATAGTGGGGGGCGCCGTCAAGGGGGGCACGTTTGACTTCGGGGAACAGCTTTTTTATTTTGATTTTTTTTTTTACTGTCCTAGAATAAAGTGCAATTGCACCTCCACTACATTAGGGGGCAGTGACACCCATTGGCAGAGTGTGCGCAGGGAGCATTCGCTCGGTGTTTTGTTTGCACTGAGCATGCGCGCTTTGCACACAGCACAGAGTATGAGTATGAAGTGCAGACACGAAGTCGACAGGCAGAGAGAGAAGGTCTCCCGAAAGCTAAGACGAGGAAATATGACGAAGCGTATGTTGTGCTTGGCTTTACTCTGACCACGGTGGTAGATGAGGAAAGACCAGTGTACCTACTGTGTCTAAAAATGTTGGCAGCGGACAGCATGGAGCCAAAAAAATTAAAAGTGTCACTTAAAGACATTACACCCCAATCACGCCGATAAGCCGCTTGAGTTTTTTTCAGCGAAAACGTGCCGAATATTGCCAACAATCATCCCGCTTTGTGACTGCTACTTGTAGCCATTAATCATCATCTTTTGAGTTAAAAAAAAAATCAGCACAAATTCCAGTATTTTATATATTTTTGTCCTGCAGGTTTTCATATTGTGCTCCTGAATTAATGTTGGTGATCAATTTGAATGCATTATTATTTATTGATTTTATGTAATTTTATATTTCAGTATTGTATGGTTTGACATGGTCAGTCAAAAAATGTTTATAGTTTAATTAAGGATTTAATTTTATTTTTGAATTTCAGATGCACTTAAAATCTTTTCTGTTACAGTTACTAAAACTATTCTTTGTTGTAAATTGGTCCATATTTCTTTCTTTTTTATTCTCTTATACGTTAATAAGAATACAGTGTTATGCAAATGTGTACTTATAACAATTTTATAGACAAATGATACTACTTATAGATGTTTTCTTCTGGGGGGGGGTGCATGACAGAAAATAATTGAGAAGCACTGAGCTACAGTGAGATGCAACCATATCTTCGTTCATCTTCCGCTATCTGCTATACTGCAAATATTCTATTTTTTTTTTAATGAGTTTTGACAGTACACAGGCAAATCTATTTATCTATTTCTGGTGTGTCTTTTTAGGTGCTCTACCAGTGAAGTTGAGTTGAAAATGCGATGCTTCAGCCGTTTAACGATTTATAGTACTGTAACATCTATGCTAATTTCCATTAGCCTGTCTATGGCGTTTCAAATTGTTTGTTAGCATTAAGCAAGCAAACTTTCTGTATTATGGTTTGGCATGACATTTCGGTGATTAAAAAAATTGTTAGATTGTCTTTTGTTTTATGTCTCAATTTTACAGTAAACTTCATTTGAGAGCGACGAACAGCTGAAAGCAAGCATCACCTCTCGTCCAGTGAGCTGCCCGATAGCTATGTGATAAGTCTCCCCTTTCTTCACAACGAGGGTGATAAAAGGCACTATAAGGAATGCTTGTGTGTTCCAATACGCTTGGATACGCTTTCATAAATTGGTGTAGGGGAGGAGTAAAACTTCTTTCAAATTGGAATACAATTAAATGGCCTCTATATGGCGCTTTTCCACCTGATTGTAGCTGGTTCTGCAACGTATTCCTCGTCACTAACAAGGGCTCACTGTAATTTGTGCCACTTAAAAAGTAAAAACAAGGAAGGGCACAAGACCTGTCGAAGGCTCAACGGGTGCTGCTGCTGCTGCAGTTTTTGCTGCCACGACATGAGAGGTCTTGATTGGAGGAGGGGGATGGAGGAAGGAGTGCTCTGCTGGCTTGTAATGTTGCAGCGCCCTTTGGATCGGGACCATGACTCTGAGACATGGAGAGAGAATAAGTCAGTCAGACAAGTAGGTGTAACACTCTAAGGGTTGAAAGAGTCTCTACAATGCAAGGAGAACTGCTGATTTAGTCCACCTGAGCACCAAAACGACTAAAGACAGGGATACTTTTAATTAATAAATGTATGAAGCATTTTGGAAAAATTTCAACAAGTATGCAAAGTAATGCAGTACTCTTACATAGTGGAGCAATATTATAGTTGGAGGGCCCATTCCCCTTTAGACTTATACAGGTGTAACCTGACAAATTTTGTCCGTAGATTTTGTAAAAGCAGTGCCAAGCTGTACACATGAAGATTGCTCAGCAAATTGTGCAAAGCTAGATGTGAGTTTCCATGTACAGGACAGTAAATTAATTTCAACTGGCTGATGTAACTTTGAGGTGGTGGTGACACTTAGATTCATTTGGGCCATTTGTTTATTGGACAGCAGCCTTTTTTTGTGGCGTGAGAAAGTATCAATGCAAAGTTGTTATATCCCATGTTTTACATCTCTTAATTATATATAATATTGTTTCCCGTCCCCATTACCTTTACCTCATTTCTATCATGCAGTATCTGCATCGGTTCAAACAAAAACACTCTTGAAAAAGTGGCAAATTGTGAATTTCTGCCTTAATCCAATGTCTGTTGTAAATTATGAACCTCCACACAAAGACAAGATTTGCTTATGAGCGGGTGAAAAATGCATCCACCTTTCCCTCCAAGAGGAGTTAATTCAATTCACTAAAACCACTATAACTGAAGTACCATCACACAGTTATGGGAAAGAACCTTGAAGTGCAAGATGACGATGTTATGTGCGGGAAAAAAATATTTGCAATTTGTGTTTATTTTGATGAATGCTACTCTGATGAAGGAAAAGTCACTATTCAGCAACATTACATTTTACGAGTTTGGATGCATCTCAAATACGTCAAATTAAAAGCGAGGTCCTATGTCTGCCGGTCTGCAATGATCACCTGTTGAGACCTTTTTGGTCCACTAGAGGGCGGTAAGCCCCTATTGGTTCTTTTTGGCCGGCAGAGTAGACGCCCCCAAAACACACAAGAGACCGATGACGTGCCGAAAAGAGGGTGTCATTTTGAGCGGGATAAAAACTACAAGGTATCAAACATTTCTTTTGGGCTTTACTAAATAATGCACTGCTTCATAAAATTACAGGATAAGAAATAGCTCCGGTTACTGCCGTAGGTGTGGTCATTTGATTGTTTTTCTTTTGTGATATTCGACAGTCTGATAAAATATCACTTCAATCATCCTGTCACAGTTTTATTTAAACTTTAAATTTAAATTATTTAAATTTAAACCTCTTTTATTCTTGGAATTTTGTCTTTATTTTTATTCACTTTATTTTGTAGTAGTAAGCACAGAGGTAACATGGCATCAATGCCACTTGCATATCCACCAGACAATGGGTACTTTCTTCTTAAACTTATTAACCTTCATTTTTCTTCATCTCTTATCTGTGTACTCCTTCTACACGGTGTCCCAAGTGTCCAGACCGAGACACGGTCAGGGTTCCCACTCTATTTTTGAAATTGTTGTTCTTGGTCTTTTCCAGAACCATTTCGTTGGCTACGGTACAACTCAAGTTATTAAAACAAACTATGTTCCACCCCCAAAATTCGGAGAGGTGTTATTTTCTACAATTGTGCCTTATATTGTGTTTATTTAACAGTTAAATTTAAACCAGATTGCTTCACTGTTACCAAGTAGTGGGGGGCAGGAGGGGGCAGATTTGGCAAATCGAACCTGGTCTCTGGAAACGCTGCCGTGTTCCTCGAGTGATGTTGTTTTGGACTCTCATTGGTGGAACCACCATTGTCCTGAGATCTCGAGGACTCCTACCCTGCACCGCAGGGGAAGGCAATGGTGCTGTCACAGCAGCAAAAGTCGGGCGGCTGTTGCGGTTACTGTTGTCAAGGAAACAATATGGACTGTTGCCATGTGGGGACGTTGACGTGTTGGATGTCGGGGAGCCCTCGACAGTTTCACATCCGCTCTCGTGATCATCATCTTCAGACATACTGGACACAGAAGAACAACAACTTGGTTGGTACTGTCAAAACAGCTGTATTTTGAATCTTGTGATAAATAAACAGTTCAATGATTTGGACAACAAAAACCCACAAATGAGAAGAAAATAACCTGTTGGGTCTTTTGCAGGGTGACGCAGACGGGCTGGAGTGCAGAGAGTTGGATGCAAATGAACTGGTGCTGAGACTGCTGTCAGGACTGCTTAGGGAACACACTCTTTCCATAGTTGCACTGGTGTTTCTGCATACCTCACATACACACTGCTCTTGACAGCTACACAGAGAACAAAACCGGTTATTGTTTTTTTTTTTTAGGCCAGAATTCCAGTCTATTGTGACATTTACAGGTCAATAGGCTAGGCATTCCAAAAATGGAAAAAAAAAGCAACAACTGCCTTCTATCCCACACCCAGTGTTAAAATGTTCTTCACGGTGCCTTTTGTGGGAATAGGTATTTTCCTCCTCCATTACGACCATGTAAAGATACTCACCCTCTTAGACAGCACAACTGCGGTTTGTCTTCCTCTACTTCTTCACCATCTGTTGCTTCACTCTGGATGCTGATCACGCTGGGCGTCGGGCTTGGTGTGTCACCCATGAGAAAGGTGACATCTCGCTGCAGCTCTTTGTTTGGTACATCCTCTTTGAGGCAGTCCACCCCTTCTTTTGAATCGTCATCGTCCTCATCCGAATTTAGCTGCGTCTGCTGCTGGGTTTCCGACAGAGGCGCCTCCCGCTGAGATTTATTGATTCCTAATGCAGCCTGACCAACAACAGTGGCCATTTTGGGGGATCGACAGTGAGATGCGTGGATGTTGACTGGGTGGGACAGGTTCCTTTCAAAACACAAGAGAATGGAAAGATAGTTCAAGTTTAAGTTGGGTTTGAAGGAAACAGCTGAGCAGCAGCAAGTGCTGGGCGATATGGAAAAAATATACAGTAAATATTCTCACCTACGGACTTCTGTCAAATGGCAATTGCCTCACCCAGAATAAAAACCTATGCATTAAAATTTCGACTACGATATTACATTAACGACCGATTCATAATAACGGAAGTTCCGGTACCCGGAACCCATACGGAAGCCCGCAGTAGCGCAAACTCAAGCTAGTCCCGCTCGATACAACGGAATAACTGTGCCCACGCCGCTATTTACTCTTATTGGATCCAACACGGCGACATGTAAGTGACTCTATTGGCCTGAGTTTTACTGGAATCGCGAATGATTTTCTATTTCATGCATTTAAATTTACGTCCTGTAGATCGTGGCATCCAAACGATCCAAATGGTAATGACTGTGGAAGAGAGAGTGGAATGCATCCGATGAGCTGCTCAGAGTAAATTTCTTGTGGCTCGACAGACAGTCGAGTAAACGAACGTTTCCTGGAATGCTTTACCTGTTATATTAAAAACCTTCCGCTAACTGGACCGCTAATTAGAGACTGCGCTAACTATGGGCATCGAGGATTTCAAAGCTCCCTGTGGCTGGTTTCAAAAGTTCGTTGCACGACATCAGCTGAGCAATTCAACTGGACTCATCGACATGGCCATTTGTTTGTTCACAATTGAGAGTGATGGCGTGTGTGCAGCACAGCTCCCAATAGGTCAGCACTTATTCCGTTGTATGCTTTAAATTTGTTTTCAAAGCTTGTAACTACTTCATCTTAGTGTGTTATTTACATACAAACACATTTATTTCAAATTTTTAATGAAAACAGCTCAAAACTTTTACATGAAAGAGAAAAACTGAGATAAGTTTTGGATTCCGGACCCAAAAAACTGCTGTCAGATCTAACTCAACCAAAATTGTGTTCTCAGTGTAATCACTTCCTTATTTTTTATTCAAATTGCCACCTGGTGGCAGCTGTGTGGCATTACCAGAGTAAGTGCAAGCTTTTGTCGGTCAACTCAAGCTGCCTCTGGCATTGTTTTTATTCCAAGTTACCGTATTATTTGCCTAAGAGAGCAAATGACGTTAGACATGATTGGAGAGAGGTGGCGCACTAGAAACCTTTCTATCATATCGCCCAGCTCTATACAGGACTAAAGAAAACACTCACCTGTTGTGGTGCTGCCTGTTTCTTTTATTAGCTGACTGGGGCCAAACAACATGTGCGATGCCAATGTTGAGAGACTGATGCGCAGAGACAGCTGGCATGTGATTGGTCAGGAGTGGCTGTTGCATCAAGGTACTATAACGTACTTTCCTGTGTTAGCCCAAAAGAGAGAGGCCGGGGAGAAAGCAAAATATTTTTTAGCCATATACTGCTGGATATACTGAATGCAAATTTGTAACTATGTGCAACCCATGATAATCTCTTCGTTGCTTATTAATTTGTTTTCGTTTCAGAAAAGCCGAAATGCATAGTACTAGACTATCACATTGTATCCCGCCAGTCATGCGCCAATCCACAAAAGGCTAAAATATTGTTTGTAAAAGAAATTATGTCAGAACTTTCATCAAAAAAGTTGTGAGAGTTATTGAGAATTTGCACTGTGGCAGATGGGACACTGAATTCCTCCCTACTAGAGGTAAGATCTAAAGCCCAAGCCCGAGCCTGACCCGAAGTTCGGGTCGGGGCGGACCTAAAATGTCAATCATTGCTTCGGGTCGGCTCGCGGCCGGGCTTCTCTCTCGCTGACTTTTTTAAAATAAATATCACTGTGATGTTGCTACCCAAACGTCACAGTGCGCTGAGGCGTTTCGAGGCCATGAATAGTTTTGGCCACGAGAGACCGTGGTTTGCCAAAAAAAAAAAAAAAAAAAAACAGAAGTTGCCTCATTACAACACATACTGTACTAAACTCTTGCAATGACAATTCAAAGAACTCCTTCGTGTCTCTGTCTATTATCCACTCGTCATTGTTCTTCTTTATCTCTCTGGTTCTTTCTCAAAGTGCCGCGCTAGATTCTTAAGGACGTACTGCTGCTGTGGTTAATGGACCAATTTTCAACCCGTCAAAATGACGGACGGCCTTAAATTTTTCCATCAACTCTTTAAAAAAAATCCATCAATGATGGAAAATTGTCGGTTAATGTACCCTCTGCAGAAACAGAAATATAAAAGATGTAACTGTTTATACAGTCTTGTTAACTTAGATTTCGTTACAAAAGACAGGCTTTAATTTGTTATTATTAATCACCCCTCCTCCTCCCGAGTCCTCACAAACAAAATATGAAATTTCGGGTTTGCTTCGGGCTTGGGCCTGCAAATCAAGTTAATTGGTCAGGCTCGGGCCGGGTCGGGCTTTAATACCCACGGGCTGGGTCGGGTCGGGCTGGATTTTTTGGCCCGATCTTACCTCTACTCCCTACCAGTGGATACATGAAAAATAAACACATAAATAGGAATTATTTGACAAGCAAAGCCCAAAACTAGTTCACAATGGAGGGGAATCCCGCCTTGTACATTTTATTCATGAGCAAGGTTGCGGAGGCAGTTAGCTTCATGTGGTCTGTCGTAACGAAGGCCTTTTCATGATTTTGTGGGAAAATGTCGTCGTTACAATAAAATTTACATTATAAAGATGTTGGTTGGAAGCAAATTCAGCAAATGGAAAATGAATTACGTGAAATAGGTACGTTGAAATGTGAACGTTAGAGGGGTGAAAATGTCAATGTGGTATGTTGAAACGAGGTTTGACTGCATCTGCATTAAAGAAACTTGCAACTAACCCCCACTCGCTGATTCTTGGGGCGCAGAGTGTGCTGTCATTGGTTAGGGAAGACGTGGGTGGTGGGACGGGGTGAGTCGGGGGCACACCGACTGCAGTCATCTGTGGCCAGGCTGTTGGTACCAGGAGCTGCTGACCCCGGTTAGACCAGGCTGGCTGCAAGACAAGAGAGAAATTCTCGGTAATCACATTAGACATCTGATGCATGATATCTAATACAGCAACCACAGACATTCTTGATGTTGGGGTAGGCAACTCATGCCCCCTGCCCCCTCAAAAAACAAACAAACAAAAACCACCAGCAACACACTGTTAGAATGTATATATTAGGTATAGGAGAGAAGTTACTGGATGTCTCACCTGTGTTATTACACTAGGCCTCACTTGGAGGGCCTGAAGAGGAGGCGCCTGAGGTACCATGGGAACTGAGTACCTAACTGCTTGGTTAAGGTTACCTTTAAAAGAGCCAAAGAAGAAGAAGAAAAAAAATCAATCGCAGTAAATTACATTTTTATTCCTAAATGATCTACTAGGAATTAAACGATTTCTCGACAAATGTTTAGCATAGAATATAGGACCACAGAGTAGTGGGTGTCTTAATTGCCCCTGTAGCCGGGTCCTAGTTGTATTCTGTGACGTGTGCGTGCAATTGCACAAAAACAATATGAGAGAATTGGCAGCTAATAGGATACACCGAGATTAGTATTGGCTCCCTTCATGCTAAAAAAAATCATGACAGATGAATCATCGAAGCATCCTTTTTTGACTAAACAAGCAATCATGTGCTCAATATGTGCTTTTCAAGTGAACTCTGCTATTTGTTGGTGTGCTGTAGCCTGTTGAGTTATCCAGATACTGGAATTAGAAATGATCAAACAAATTTTGCTCCATTTGTTTATTCGTGCTGCTTTATTTGTGTCACTTGCTCGTCTGTACAGGAAACATTAGTCTAGCTCACAGTCTTGTAGCAAAAAAGAAAAGAGAATGAGGCCACGTACTTTGTTGGGACTTATATTGGTTCGCTTAGAATTGTATTGAACAAAAGCAGTGTGCAAAAAGGGCCGGGGGTTGATGCTTTTATTATACTTTTGGTGTTCAAAAGCATGTTGCAATACATTACTTGTGTGTCCGGATACATTTTGTGGGTGTTAACTTTGTTGAGCAATAGTGCATAGTGAGAAAAATAATTACCGGTACAATGATAATTCTGTTCACAGTAAGATGTAAAAATGAGATTTTCCTTCAGTTTCATCTCGACGATCTCTCTACCTTGAATGTTGGGTGGACAAAGAAGAATGGGTGGGAAGGCGTCGCTGCATCCAAACTGACCATTTCTTGTTGTGAGAGCAAGCCCAGGATGCAACACTGAATGACCTGATTGCGTAATAGGCTGCATTGCCACCAGCAAAAGAGAATACAGTCAACTGGTGTTGGTGGTGTGTATTTTGATAGCCACATACAACAGACATATTGCAAAAAAATTCACCTGAGTGTGAACTGGTATGTTGTTGTAGCCCAGCTGGAGGCCCGAAGAAGTAGAAGTGGAACCAACAGGCGGTCTGGTAAAATGAACGGTGTTCTGGTTCAACGCATCAAAAACTGTACTGTTTGGACGGCCATGGCACATATCCATGATGCGAAAAGATGACTGCACACTGAAGAAAACAGAGCAGAGTAGTAGTTAGATGAAGCGGCTCATCTACACTACCCCCCCCCCCCACCCCAAAGGTACTGATGAGAGTAATTTGTCTCCATTTTATTCATTTCGGTTTCACATCCAAAAGGTGAGTATGAGATAGGGGATAAAAATGTCAATTACGGGATTTACATCTAAATCTGATACACCTAAGACTACTTTATTTGTAACTGAACTGGCCCCTTTGATATTTTTAGCATTGTTTTTCGATGTTCCCCATGAATCTCTTCATCAGGTGGAATGTGTTTCTACTTTTTTTTCACCGTGATGAAATCCTTTGTTAATTTGAATCACTGTCTTGTTGCATGTTGAAGCATCTCCCAGTTTCTTTGATTGTAATTTTCTTCAATTAGAAGACAAAATGTTCCTGCTTTTTGGCACAAACAAGAGTGTGGTTTTCAAATAAAACAAGACGAAGGCACCATTTCAGGCTCAACATATTGAAAATATAGTGTTTCATGAATGGCTAATTGATTGGGCTAACCCTTATTCATTCTTTCATTTTCCAAACCACTTTATCCTCACTAGGGTCGTGGGGGGTGCTGGAGCCTATCCCAGCTGTCTTCGGGCAGTAGGCGGGGGACAACCTGAATCGGTTGCTAGCCAATCACAGGGCACACAGAAACGAACAAGCATTCACGCTCACACTCACACCTCGGGACAATTTGGAGTGTTCAATCAGCCTGCCATGCATGTTTTTGTAATGTGGGAGGAAACTGGAGGACTCGAAGAAAACCCACACAAGCACGGGGAGAACATGCAAACTCCACACAGGAAGGCCGGAGCTGGAATTGAACCCGGTACCTCTGCACTGTGAAGTCGACTACCGGGCCGCCTCCTGGGCTGGCCCAATAATGAAATTAAAATTATGTAAACTTAGATTTGAGCAATACCTTTAAAAATAGTACACGGGGAAGAATAGAACAACATGCAAATTAGGATAATATGCAAATTTGGAATGTGCACACTGTGTCAGAGTCAGCTATCAAAGGCTTACTGGTTACTATGTGGGTGGTCCAGCAGATGAGTCATGGTGAGGAAAGGGTGAGTGAGGACATTGGAGGGAACAGTTCTGTCCTCTGCATCTATCAGCAGCATGCGCTTCAGCAGGGACACAAACTCTTTCCTGTCGGTTTTCTCTGCCTGTATGTCACTGTTGTCAGGACTCAACACCAAGTTCACCTGAAAGGAAAAATATGGGGAAACATTCAAGGAAAAATATGTATGACAATCACTGGACTGAAAATACTGTGCAATATGCCTGAAAAGTATATCATAATATCAGTACCTATATTTCATGTTGATCAATAATAATAATATGTTTTATTACCTACTCCAAGTAAGGATCTGGAGATTATTTAAATCTTCTATTTAAATCTTCAGTTATAAAACCTTATACAGTAATTAACATTCATCAGCATTGCCTTCTGAGAGAGACAAAGAGACTTGTGTGACTCTCACTTTACGCTCTGACGGTGTCGCCGCCGTTAGCCTCCAGCTAGCTCCTGGCCAGCTATTCCCGCGCAGCCGATGTGTTTATGATCAGACAATTAATCGGTATTGATGAGGAGGAGTCGAAGAGAGATGTGCTGCTTTTTTGGTCATGCCCAATCACTCCCCCCCCCCCCCCCCCCCCCAAACACAACAGAAAACAGTATGCCAGAGAGAGGCAGGCAAACAATCAGAGAGTCAACAGTGTGATGACACAAAAGGGAAGGTGCTGGGCGGGACTGCGAAGATGCGTAGCCAATCAGCTCACGGGATGAACCCACTCGTGCTGTCATTGGTCGATGTCGCGGCATGCGTACAGTCACGTACAAAACCTCTGAGTCATTCGGCATTCCTTTCGGAATACAGTACTTTCGGGAAAAAAAAAAAAAAAAGTGATGTAGTGAAGCCGCGATAAATGAAGCGTGATATAGCGAGGGATCACTGTATGTAGAATTTAGATAACTTTATTGTAACATATATTTAACCTTTAATAAGAGGTCAAGGCAACTATGAAAAAGTAAAACTGGTCTTAGGAGGGCTGTGCAATATGGCTGAAAAATGTTTCACAATATAAGTATTTCATATTAGCCAATATTGATAAATATTGATATTTTATTTAAGATAAAAAAAAACCCAACTGACTGTTTGTATGTACATTGTAATGTACTGTAATATGCAAAGATGCTCCTGCACCAGTGCAATCATCAACGCTTACTTTCGGAAGCGGCCAGCCCAAAACGGTCCTGTTGACTGTTACGTTAACCTTCATTCAATGTTCATACAATATAAGTGTAGCGAACTAATGCTCTCTTGGAGTGCTTGCATAACAGGTTGCCAACCCATCTAAAGTGGGCTCATTATTGCCATAGACCATTCATGTTTTACATGCCCGATTGCTACTTGAGCGCAGCGCTGAGGCTTGCAGCTGGTTAACACGAGAGCTTTCGCCTATCAAAGACAGGGAACATAAACTGCTAGACCACCTATTCATCTGGAATTGTTTAATCGGGTTGGTATGCATGACATAATCTTATTTCAAGCAAGTGTTGTGCTGAGTCCATTGGGTCATTTATTTGAACAAAGTTACTCAACACTCTTGTTCCCCGTGTGTACGCCACTGCAGAAATTTCATCTGTGCTGTATGTTGTACATAGAGCATATTTGACAATAAAGATGACCTTGACCTTGACACACAGGCATTTTTATACTGCTATTGATGACGTGTCTTGCGTGACAAATGTTGACACTGAATTATTGCTGAGCACTAACTGTTGACTGTTTTGACGGAGGAACATTGAATCACTGTTAGGGTCGAACCTTACCTAATTCCCTTACGAACACGTGGACTTGTCTGTTAAAACTTACGTGTGCAATGTCATCCAGACAGCTGAAGATATATTTTCTGGCTTCTTTGGATTTCAGTCCTGTCTCTTTCTCATGCTCTTCTGTTGTCTGGAGAAAAAAAATGTACAGAAAATTAAAAAATAAAAATAAAATCGAAAATGTATAGAGATAAAATCTTAGGTCTTCGTCGGGTTTTGTGATTCATATGTGGGTTTTTTCTGATATTAAAATATACAGGGTGTCCCAAAAAATAATTTGCAGACCTTTTTACAGAATGTATAGATACAGTTCATGATCTTATATTTAATATTTCTCTGTTCTGTTTTCAGGTTGAGCCATGCCATTGACCCAAACAGACAAGCAATGCATAGCAGCTCAGGACGTATTTCCGGTGGAAAGGTTTATTTTCATCAGCTCAATTTTGTTGCATCTGCAGTCTGGTTGTGCACAAGCCGCCAGGTCCATTAACTTGAACGATTCAATTCAGGTGAATGAAAGCAACTCGGATGTTTCAATATACCCCGATTCTTGTGTGTATTGTAAAAACCATCCTCTTTCGGTCACAACATGTGTGTTCCTTTTTGTTGACATCGTGAAATGTGTGGCAGCCATCAAGAGAAACATGTGGGTCTATTATAAATGGGTGTGGTTTTAAATAATCTTCTGTGTTTCACAAGATCGAAGAATAAAGAAAGGGGGTCTTTGACCAATCTCAATCATCCAAGGAACTGGGTTCCCTCCTTTGCACTCTCCTCTTTAGCTGATTCCACAGGTTTTCATTGGGGTTGAGATCTGGGGACTGAGATGGCCATGGAATGAGAATGATTCTGTGTCTGATGAATCATGTCTACAATTTTCAGTATACTTCTGCAATAAAAATGTAATTTGTTTTAAGGCTCTTGACTTCTTAAACAGGGGTGCCAATAATCACGGAGGGTATGTGTACTGCATACGTATTGTATTTTTATGAATTGGCAGTAACCAGCTGTCTTACTCCTTTAAAATGGGGGTGTGCAGTGGAGTTTCTGGCTGCATCAAGTAAAGAAAGCCAGGCCACTGCCCTCCTCAGCCAGTGTCCTACAACCACGTTGGAAAAGGTTTAATGGAGCCTTTTCATTGTCGCTGCATGGCCTCGAAAAAGTGTCATGGAAAAGTGACCACACGGGCAAACCGGTATAATGGAAAAATGGCATTTGAAAGCACAAGTTCAGTTTGATTAAAACCGACGATATGGTTGCACTCTACGAGAACAAGATACAAGATGGATTTATGTCTATTTTCATTCGTGTGCATGTACCTTAAGTCTCCAGCAGGGGTAAGGAGATTCTGACTCTTTACAGAAGAAACGGGAGGTCTTGGTGCCCTTGTTGAGCAGGTGTTCCGGAGGTAGGCCTTGGGTCTGGGAGATGTAGCGAATCTTAGCAAGTCAAGACAGAAAATAAAGATTGTTTATAAAACAGGACACTTAAAGAGCAAAATGTAACTCCAAGTGTTTCCTTTATTTTTTTGGACAGTTTATATTTTGCTGTGTCGAGTGGCAAGCACTCAGCCGTGGCATTGGGCACCAAACTTTGGGGGGCTCAGCATGCAAGTGAAAGCAAGTCCTGGCATGGACAACGTTGACTCCTGCATAAACATTTTGTGAATAAGGAGACTGCTCAAATTTTGTTTTGTTTTTTTCATGTGACAGCAAGAGTGACTGAGAAAGGTTCTGGGACGCCACTGTGTAGCTAGATGAGTTCAGCATTGTTTGGGGATGGGGTGGGGGGAGCATCTACCTGCGTTTGAAGTAAGTTTTTGAAAAAAATCCGTCGCTGTGTGACCTCTTTCTTTGCCAATTTCCCCTGGCAAAGCATTCAAATCAAAGTAGGTACAAATTTGTTTTTAGGGCTAAATGTAGCTATTGTAGCTTTTAATCAGGTATGTTTTGTAGTTCGGAACTGACGGTAGGCGGACTGCTTGCCGGGTTTGACAATGACAAAAAAATACATCGGTGCAAAAGTTAGTTAGTTAGTTAATTGTTTGTTGAACATACAATACAATAACAATTGACAAAAGGCAAGCAAAATTACAAAAGGAAAAATAAAAATAAAAAGTAAATAAAAAGTAAATAAAACAAACATCATCACCGTTATATGCTCAAAGGAGTAGGAAGAAGTATACAACTTATCTAGTCCTACCCCTTGTGTAATAATATAAATAGATCATTTTTCAATGCAAAAGGAAGAGATCTACCTCTCATCAAGTACTTTTACCCTTATGTGTACTGTACTTATCTATTTACACACCTTTCTGTTTGTATATACATACATATATAAATACATACATACATACACGTACATACATACACATACACACACACACACACACACACACACACACATATATATAACACATATATACACACACATATACATATACACACACTTACATATGTACATGAATATACATATAATTATTCTTTTTCCTTTTTATATCAATTGTCTCATATTCATTATAAATACTGCATTTCTTGAATGCATTTAATGAGTTGATCAAAATCCAAAACAAGAACAGACCGTTATATTACTATATTTTATAAGTATATCGAATTTATCTTCTTAACTTTGATTTTTGTAGTTTGTTTGTACTAATCTTTTAAATTTGTTTTTGAACTCGTCCAGCGATTTACTCATTTTCAGATCCGTTTCAAGCTTATTCCACAGATTGACTCCTATTACTGATACACACCTTTGCTTGATGTTTGTTCTTGTTCTGGATTTTTTATATTGATTGATACCTCTTAGATTATAACAACTATCTCTAATTTCAAAATGCTTCTGGATATTTTGGCAAAGGAGATTGTGATGTGCTTTATACATTAATTGGGCGATTTTGAAGTTAACCAGGTCATAGAATTTCATTGTGTTTAATTTGATGAATAGCGGATTTGTGGGTTCTATATATTTGGACCTATTGATTATTCTGATTGCTTTTTTTTGTAGTTTTAAGACAGGGAGTGTGTTTGATTTACAGGCGTTCCCCCATATTTCCACACAGTAGGTCATATATGGGAGTAATAATGAGTAATATAGTGTGTACAAAGAACTCTTATCCAACACATCCTTAGTTTTGTGGAGTATCCCAATAGTTTTGGATATATTTCTTTTAACGTTATCTATGTGTGGCTTCCAAGATAGTTTAGTATCTATTACTAGTCCAAGAAACTTATTTTCATAAACTCGTTCTATTTCAATTGAATTTATCCTTATTTTAACTTGGTCATTGATTGGTCTCGTGCCGAAAACAACTAAGTTGTTTTCGGCACTAAGTTGACGATGAAGGTTGAACGGTACTTCCTATCAAAAATAAAATTGATTAATTTTAGGGCTTTGCGATAATTCAATATCAATATGTATCACAATGCACATGTGATCAGTCTGAATAGGAAACACATTCGATAAAATGTTTGAAATCAAATTCGTTTCCAGGGAGAGTTGGACTCCGCCAAGGATGCCATAAGTTGACCAATCCTGTTCAGCACCTTTATGGACAAAATTTTTAGCTGCAGCCCAAGCGTTGCGGGGTCCCATTTGGTGGCCTCAGTATTGCATCTCCACTTTTTAATACATGATTTATTTCTGCTGGCTACATCATGCCGCAATCTCTCACTGGAGCAGTTTGTAGCCAAGTGTAAAGCAGTTGGGATGAAAGTCGGCATCTCCAGATCTGAGATCATGATCCTCAGTCGTAAAAGGGTGGAGTGTCCTCTTGAGGTTGGGGAAAAGTTTGTCTGAATTAAAGTATGTTGGGGTCTTGTTCACGAATGGCACGAATGAGGGAAGGATGGAGCGGGAGACTGACAGGCAGATTGGTGCAGCATCTGCAGTAATACAGGACTCTGTATCGGTCCATCGTGGTGAAGAAGGAGCTGAGCCGAAAGGAGAAGCTGTGGATTTTTTTGGTCGATCCACGTTCCTATCCTCATCTATGGTCACAGGTTTCCTCCATAGGGTGTTCTGATTCTGCCTTAAAGAAAGGTTGAGAAGCTCAGTCTTCCGCGACGTACTTAAGAGTTGAGCTGCAACTCCTCAGCATTGAGAAAGGCCAGATGAGATGGCTTGAGCACCTGTTTAAACTGCTGAACGCCACAATTTTGGGCATATCCCCCCAGGAGACGGCTCTGGGGGATCGCCAAGAATGCGCCTGGGGACACCTTGGGATTTCCCCAGAGGAGCTGGACAAAGTTGCTGGGGTAAGGGAAGTCTCAGCTTCACTGCTTGAAGCCGGATTGTTTCATAGAAAAAAAATAATTAATTAAAAAGAAAACCCCGTCCCTGGCATTCTGTATGCTGTAGGGAGCGGCTACAGCACACATGTCAAAGTGCCGGCCCGCGGGCCAAATCCGGCCCGCGAGAATGTTTTCAGTGGCCCCTGGGATGATATTGATTTATTATTAGATCCGGCCCGCGGCCCGCAGCAAGCCGAGAGCCCGTAGATCTTTTACACGCACCAAAACTACATTTCCCACAATGCAACGGTGACGCGCCAAGCAGTCGGCCGCTTTATTTAAATATTTATTCGTCTAGCAGTCGTTCCCATAAGAGTGACATTAGCTTTCAGATACCCATCAAAAATGGCAAAACGGAAGGTGGACACTGAGAACCGGGGGTTTCAAACAAGGTGAGAGTCGAAGAACATGTTCATGGACGTAGCTGGAAAACCTGTGTGTCTTCTGTGTGGAGTAAGTGTGGCGCGATTGAAATAGTGTAATCTGAGACGACATCATGAAACGAAACACGCAAACAAGAACATGGACATGGAGGGGGAAGGGGGATTTCATTAAAAACGGTATACTTAAAGTTTGTGACGAAGTTTACCCCGAAAAAAAGCAACTCTTTTTAAACGTGAGCATTAGCAGAAACACAATTGCAGTGTTTCTGCAAAGATACGGCAGTGCGTGCTGCACAGTTTGCCCGTTTCCTCCCCGACACATTGGCCCCGCTGCGCATCCAGGCTGCTCAAACGTTGTCGAAAGTTTGGCAGCACATACGTGTGTGAACAACTATTTTCTTTGATGAAGCTGAACAAAACATCACACAGAAGTCGATTTACTGCTGAACACCCTCACTCAATTTTGAGGATTTGCTCAGCTCAGAGCATGACCCCAAATATTGATGAACTTGTAGAAAAGTTAAGACACCACCGAGTATCAGCCTCAGCCTCAAAGAAGTGAATATTACCGGTACTTATAATATACTGTGCAATCACATACTAAGAGTTTTTACTCAGTTCAAGTTTTTTTCTTGAAGAAAGTGTTGTTTTTGGTTTATACATTTTTGCACTTTATTTTATTGTATTTCAATCCAATTATGTTTTAAAAAAATTTTATTCGAGTAAATGATCGAAAATTACTGCACTATTATTTGTTTTTCTTTTAAGTAAATTTAGCCTACTTTTGCTAAAAGAGAAAATATGGACTAGTGATAGTGCCTTGAATAATATCGGCTTCTTTCATTCATGTTATGGGGATTTTTATACAAAGGAAATTTTTTGTGCCTGTTGAAAATTAAAGTTTACTGACTTAGCCATAAAAAAATGTTGCTTTATTTATCTGACCGTATTGGAATGTATTTGTGAGGTTTTCAGTCAATTAAATTTGGTTCAATAAACAATATGTGGTTATTTTTAAAATTTTCAATGAACATTCGATCAGTCCGGCCCTCGGCTTGCAGCAAAAAATTTTATCTGGCCCTCCGTCCATTTGACTTTGACACCCCTGGGCTACAGTATGACATTAGATTTGTTTCACAATTACACACATGTAAAAGAAGATCGTTTCGAGCACAGCCGAGTCACCGGGTGGTTGTCTACCGAGTGCCCACCACAAGAAGCCACTTGAACTAACGAAGAAGTGAGTGCATGCACACACGAAATGCATGCGGCGTGCCAACCAAAATGGGGCTTAACTTTGTTCAAATAGATGACCAATCGCCTCAGTGCAACTCTTGCAATAGGATTACATAGTGCATACTAACTCGATTAAACACCTCTAGATGGAGAGATGTTGCAGAAGTTCCCTGTCTATGACGAGCTTGCTCCGGTGCTTTTTAGCCAACTACGACCCTCAGCATCGCACTGAGGTCACTATCAGGTAAATCAGCCATATCGCCCAGCCCTTGTGGATTTAGTTTTTTTTTTTAAACCACGACATAATTGCAGAAAAGAAATACAGTGATCCCTCGCTCTAACGCGGTTCACTTTCCGCGGCTTCGCTGTGTGACGGATTTTTAGTGCAGTTTTTTTAATGCTTTTAACCCTTTAAATCAGAACGTGTCGGCGGCGCCGCGTGTTGACAGTACAGTATTTCCAAAAACTATTATAGTTGGTTGTTGAAAACGTTTGTTTTTTTTTTTTTGTAATTGAGCCTGAAAACAGGTTTTGGTCTTTGATTTCATTGTATATATAGTTAAGTATTGTATAGTAACTGTAAAAAAAATAATGTTCACTACTTCATGGATTTCACTTATCACTGGTACTTTTTGGAACTTAACCCCCGTGATAAACGAGGGATTACTGTATTGTGAATGTGTTTGAGAAGAATATTACCTGATCATATTCCAAGGCACCAGGGTAGAGGGGCCAGCCCAGGAAGAGCTCTGCTATAACGCATCCCAATGACCACATATCAATCGCTTCAGAAAATGGCAGGCCCAAAATAATCTCTGGAGCTCTGAAAAAGAAATGAGGTCATTACCAGGTTAGCTCTTGTAGCTGCTCACAACAAATCAAGGAGAGGGACTCACAAGAGATCATGTTACAGGACCTGTCAAAGATGCTTGCTTGGCAACACTTGTTGATTAATGGTCTACTTTTAGGCGAACTAGCGAGAGTAACTTCTCATGCAGGGAAAAATAGATTCATAGGTGTCTCGCGGTGCAATAAAGCTAGTGAATGGGGAGTAAAAGTGCAAATGCTGAGACTGACAAGGAGTCAATATGGTGCAAATGATCTGAGAAAACCTTTGCCAAAGGGGTGTGTCACTGGGCATCTCCCAAATGAAAGACAATTCAATACATAGCTCAACACATGGGATATGACACAATTACATTTTCAAGTGGAACAATTCGCTTTGATCGGTATGGTACCGCTGTAGTTTTTGTCATGCCTATAACTATGTAACGGCATGGAAAAACCTTCCAAAGGCCAAACTTTTCAAATTCGTTAAATTCAAAGAAACAACAAATAATCAGCAACATCAAAATGATTTGATTTGTTTCTTTAGCACAAATTAAAAACAGTGAAAGGAGGCAAGGGGGCTGAAAGGGCTTGTACAAGATTCTAATGACTGGTGAGCAAGGCTGTGCATCTCAACACAAGGGGTGTGAGACGATTCAAGGACGGTCCATTTTAAAATGTAATGATTCGATTTGGTTGGGATTAAAAAAAAAATTTATATATATATATATATAAGTGAACACACCAAGAGTGCAATTAACATAAACAGGTTAAAAAAAAAAGTTTTTTTTTAAGTCCGCAAACGGTCCGAGAGAAGCTGCAAAACAACAGCGAGTCACATAGAGCAACATATACAGTACTGTACTCCATGTATATGTAAAAAAAAAAATTAATTTTTAAATATGTTTGAAAAAATCCGCGATGCACTGAACCCGCAATAAACGAACCGCTAAGTAGCGAGGGATCACTGCATTTTAAGATATGGTTATTTTAAGATAAAATTGAAAAAGCGCTGTTGGCTGCTTGCCAATAAGCATTTATTGGCACATTTCTTATTAATTATAAATATTAATTCGTATTAATTGGTAAATGTTAATTGGTAAATGTTTATGAAATCATCATTACATGAATTTATAGGTCCCTTTCACTTTGTTTTAAAAACAGCTTATGGAAGTAAGCGGTTTAGAAACGGATGGATGGATATAAGACATGGCATTGTGATGGAAATAATTAGAAATTCCCAGCCCTTGTCACTTGCATGTTTCAAAGATGTGCAATCAGCTAGTTGAATTTCAGAAAGTTGTTGCTCAAGATACTGAGATTGACCCGTCAACAGTATCAAAGCTTATCGTAAAATAGGATAATGTAGCTGTTGACCCAGGTTCTCTCTCAGGCCCTCACAAAGTAGCAACCCAAGGGCTGTTTGAGTGTGCTTTCCATGTTTAACGAAGTGTTCAGTGCCCTGTAGTCAGCCCTAATGACACAGCACAGCAGCATCCAACACCAAGTCGACAACTCCTGTGTCCGTGAAGTATCAAAGCCATCCTGCGGTTTGTCGTAATGAAGGCCTTTTTACCACTTTGTGGCAAAAATCTGGTCGTTATAATAAAGTTTACGCTATAAAAGGTAATTGTTGTCAGCAAAATCGGCAAATGGAAACTGAATTATGTGACATCGGGTCTTTGAAATGTGACCGTAATCCGGCTCAAAACGTAAACAGGGTACGTTGAAACGAGGTTCGACTGTATCCGATAAATTTGACAGGGTGCACAGAAAAAGTGCCCGTGCACAAGTAGATAGTGTGGCTCAATTTCTCAATTCAAGCAAGACTAGTAAACACTAGTACACCTCTAACAGTAGTAAGAGGCCAGCTGTAGGTAAACGACTGTTTGCTAGACCTGGGCGCACACTCTTGAGTAATAGCGCTACAAATAGCAGCCACTGCTGTGACGATCACAGGAGGAAATGACAGTTACCAAGCAACAACTGGACCAAAGACTATAATAACAGGAGTATGATCATAAATGGGGCCACTGTTTACCATCATGTGTGTGTCAAGATGTAGGTGTCTATTTGAATGTATGTCCCTTTTACAGCACAATCTTTTTTTCTGGCCTATTTGCCCTGGGAGAGGGAATAACAGCCATTTCCTGTCAACTCCATAACAGGAAGAAGTTAGATTATGTATGCAATGCAACAATGACGCCTAATTTTTGTTCACTCAATACAAAACAAGGTGCAAAATGCATTGTTTTGTGTTCTGATAAAGAAGGAAGAATCTCGTTGAAAATTATTTCTCAAACAGCAGTTTTTCTTTTTGTTAGGGTGCTATACTCTGCTCGATACCCAATTACCCCACATACAGAGATGGGATCTGAGTTTTGCAAACTTTCTTTGCAGATTTAAATGTGTTTGTTAAGAAATCATCGAGATGTGTTTGCAGATTTCTGGGATGCAACCCACCCCTTATTATTATTCACTGAAAAACTCACCCAGAGCACATTTACCGAAAAAATTCAGTCGCTGTTTTTGCGCAGGCCTAAGAAGGAAATGTATGCAATTTGCTTTTCACAACCTCACAAACCGTTATGAGCGTTTTGGCTATTGCTCATCAGGGCAAAGTAGATCTTTGGTCAAAAAAGGTTGGGCACCCATGATTTATACTATTTGTAGACGTGCTCGTATGCATACTGTCATGTGTGATGTCACGTTAGTTTGTTCAGCATGTTGTTTAGGCTAATATTGACTGTATCATGTTAGGGTGGTTTGTGTGGAACACTTCAACTAATGAACACAGTTGTTTATGTCGAATGGGTTCATGATTGTGTCCATTCGAGATGTATGGTGTTGATGTTTAACTATCCCCTTTGTTTTAATTGCTTTGCCGCCCCTTTGTGGTATGTTCGAGACAATTACAAACTTTTTTTTCTTGTGACAAGCACTGAGTCAACGTGGCACTACGCGGGTATTTGAAAGCTGTAACCAACATGAACCCTCCAAACTGTTTTAGATCCGTTTTCACAAAGAATGGGTTCCAATTCCAACTTCTCCATCTACATAAACACAATGAGTGTACCTGCCCATATTTAAAAAATAAATAAATAACCGAGAAAGGAAACAAGCAAACAACCAAAGGAGGTGCCTGTATATACATCCTTTGCCTCCGGTTACCCAACAGTGTAATAAAAGCCAAAAGGCCTCAGCGTTCCCATGCCATAAAAGCTCATCATAAAGCACAAACATAGTGTCACAGCATGAACACATGCAAGCATGGTTCCAGAACTAACAAGTCACATAACAAGAGAGCAACTGTGAGGACAACACGTACACAGCTCCCAAATGAAGTTAAATTATATTTATTTCATGTGTGTTGGTCCATTATCTTGTCCCAAAAGCTACAAAATAGACGATTGGGGCACATGGGTAATCCAAGTTTAATGACTAAAACTAACTTGCCCTTTCCAAATAAAAACTCTGCCAGAAGTGCACATGGAGACTTGCTAGGACAATGTATGAGTCTGTTAACCACATCAAGTAACAGAATACCCAAAGAAGCTAAACTAGAACATGAAAATGATCTTCAGTTTGGTGTCTCTGCAACTGTGGCTGTGAGAAAGGTGATCACCTCGTACGTCAGTGAAATCCCATCCCAGAGCAAGCACTGAACTTTCTGCAAGCTGAACACATACTGGCTGCACAATCCCCATTTTCGATGTCAAAAGCGTGGACAGATGAGACCGTTGTAACTATTTTGAATAATGAGATTTTCAAAGAAATGTAAAAGGGAAAGAACACCAACTTTCATTCTCAAATCCTTTTGCAATATATGGGTACAAGGGGAAACACACGTGGCTTCTTCACATGACATAAGATCAAAATTGTGCATGCTGAAACATTGGAATATGGACTGACAGTATGACTCAGAGGAGATCACTGAGGAGCTTGCTGAGCATTCTACGATATTCTTCCCTTCCACCCGATCTGCTGAGCTGAATTATTTACATAGCTCGGTGCTCCATTTACAATATGTGAGCTGGTTTTACATCACTAATCTCCAAAGGATCGTACCGTCACATTCAGGCGTGCTACAATGGCAACAACAATCAATTTGAGACGTTTCACAAAAAAATGTATAAGTATGACCCTATTTGCTGATGTGTAATCGTTGCAATTGGCATTCCATGACAAAGATTTACTGTGACTGAAGATATATTTGCAAAATATTTTGCTGTAACAACTCTTTCCAATGAGCAGCAGCTCACAATTCAAAAGGTCACTTATTTTGTATATCTTTAAAAGAAGACAAAAAAGGGAAACGATACCATGGCAAAAACTTGAACCATTAGTAAAAAGCAATGACATTTTTGAAATAGTTTCATTTGTATTAACCCAAAAATTATCATGCTTTCAATAACACACACACACACACACACACAGACACACACACACACACACACACACACACACACACACACACATATACATATATACCGGTATATACACACACACACGCACGTACACACATACTAGTAGGAGCATTAAAATGTGCACTCATGCTGTGCAACCGGATGAATTTTTTACCAGAACATGGTGGGGGGGGGGTAAAAAAAACAGGAGCATTTGCGCACTTTCAAAACATGAAGATACCAACACATTGCTTAGGCTAGGCACAGTCGCTCTCCTGTGTGGTGGCAGTATAAGAATGGGAAGCATTTTGGAACAGTTAGACCTAGTTTGTATCTGACAAAATAAGACTTGATCTTTCTGGCATCCAATCTCGAGCTCAACTGAGAACATACAGTCTTCTGGTAGTTACAGTGAGTGTAATCCTGCGAGCATTAAACCTAAAAGCACTGGTAAAAGTTTGCTCAGAAGTTTTCAGATTGTAGCACACTATTTTGCAGGTTGCTAGGCACCATAAAAACATGCTCCTATGAGTACAGATGTTTTTTTTTTTTTTTTAATAGCTTTGTTTGTTTGTTTGTTTTTTAAGTTCCAAGTGTATCCTCAACTGGTATGCACTGCTTTGCACTACCAATGTGGCTGTGAATTGAGGAGCACATTAAAAAAAAAAAAAAAACAGTCAGTTATGTCAAGCTAGCATCTTTGTTTGACCTTATGGGAAATCGTTATGTTTGGGACTGTTGCATTTTATTAATCACGGAACCCTAGCTACACCCACAAATTTCCAACTCTTTAGTGCAACTGTATTTGAGGCTAACCACCACACCAAGTGGAGTTTCATCGCCAGATTGTGATCTCCAATAATGCACAGGGTAAGGAGTTCAGAAAATTGATGGATCAATCATGAATAAACCCTCTGACACTGCACTACTGTCATAATAGTAATTAATACTTGTTGGAATACAAACGGCCAATGCTTGTTGAAGTGCAGCCACAGTGAGTGATATTTTTAATCATTTGGTCTTATTTAATTTGGTCCATGAAAATGTATTTGCATGAAAATGAACTTAAGCATTGACATGTTTGAGTCCTTGCATTTATTAAAAAAATGTGTGCACACGTGTATGCGTGTGCAATGTGCATTGTCATTACTAAGTAAAAAAAAAAATTGGATGATTTGATTTATTCTTTGAAGCGTTAAGATAGATAGCTAGATAGCTAGATAGATAAAAACACTCCCATGGCAGTCCCGCAATAATATTCTTGACAGAATTGAAAAATTGGGAAAGTTTTAAAAAATGGTCCAGGAGGTGAATTTCGATAGGTTGGCAGCTCTATGAATGTGATGCAGTCAAAAATGTGTTTTTACTTCATTGTGTAGCCTACGTGAAATATTCAGCCTTTGCAGCTGGTACACAGTGGTACATACATGAGCACACCCAGGCACACACAGGAATGTCTAAATGTTTTTCTTGGATCCAAATATGGGTTGTCACATACCACACTCTTCAGCAGACGGGCGTCCTAAGTGACCTCCCCATCACTAACTCCCCACTCTCCAAAATTGTCCCCTTTTCACTGAGCAACGGTGCCATTGTGCAATATCAAATGCAAACAAACAAAGAACCAGACAAACTCAACAAGTACAAGCTGCACATAAAGCTCTATGTTACGCAACAACAAAAGTTCCATGCCTACTCGTCTCAGGGCGTCGACGTGACAATCTGGCTTTCACTGATTTTTACAGTACACTATGTATTTTAAATTTTGGTGAAACATGTTACTTCAAGTCCACATATTGGGCTGAAGTGTGTGGGATTGATGACAACGAGAATGTTTTTCTCTCTGTGAACAAGTACTACTATACAGAACAAAATAATTGCCACCGTGCAGAAGTACTGCGTAAAAGAATATTGCAGAAATGGAAGCAATTGTTTACATGCTCCAAATCCATGTGCCGTACTTGCTTCGACTTGTTGCAGAGAGCGGAAGTGAATTGAATGGCATGCCTGTTGTACGGTGGTTGGAGCACAAACACTGTGCTTTGGATAACGTGATATACACATTTCTCTCAAGGCTCATGGCAAATAACTTTGCAAGGAAAGAAACATTAGCCATCAACAAGTAGCAAGGGGAGGGAGGGAGAGAGAGATACTGTAGAGTTTAAGCTTCCAGGTATGGATGGAAAGTTGCAAAGCTGTATCAGTTGTTTTCTCTTTTATTAACAGTCTTTTATGAACACACACACGCACACACAGCAAGTGTATCGAGGCATATTTCCAGCAACTACCACGCCAGTGTTCTCAAGGTACAAGGTGTTTGCTAATTGCGTCAGAAGGCTAATGGCTATTAGAAAACCCTTGTGTGATCATGTTAACACGACCAAAACGAATTTAGATCCTTAGAAAAGCTATAAAACTACCTTCCTTTGAGCAGTTTGACCATCTGGAGTATGTCATTTGTGGGGTCGATTAAAAGCTCAAAATGGCCAGAAAACAAGAACTTTCATGTGAGACTCAACAGCCTATTGTTGTTCTTAGAAATGAAAGCTATGCGAGATGTTGTCTAGAAACTAAAGATTTCCTATAACGGTTGTCGACTACTCCCTTAAAACTCATTCAGTACCAGCTAATTCTAGACCCCCCCCTCCCTTTTTATTTTTTTTTAGCCTAAGTCTTGAAAAAAATGTGAAAAAAAATAAGTATCAGGGGTTGAACGTGTGGAGTGTGAAAAGACGTATAAATATGTCTTTAGGGAGTGAATGAGTTTCGAGAACAGCACAAAAATGGCTCTAACCAGAGTAGAAAGACAAGTGGGAGGCCCCGCGGGCTGCACCACTCAGCAAGAAGTTCATTAGATTCTCTAGTTTGAGAAATACATGTCTCACAGGTCCCTAACTGACAGCTTCATTAAATGGTACCCACAAAACTGAAGTGTCAACATCTAAACTGAAGAGACGACTCCGGGATGCTGGCCTTGAGGGCAAAGAAAAGTAATATCTGAGACTGACCAAGAAAAGATAAAGATTAATTTGGGCAAAAAAAAAAAAAAAAATACAGACGTTGGATAGAGGAAGAGGTGTTATGGATGGACGAATCAAAGGTTGAGGTGTTTGGATCACATAGAAGGAGATTTGTAAGACGCCATCTGTCAAGCAAGGTGGCAGTACTGTGATGGTCTGGAGTTGCTTTGGTGGGGTCAGATGGGAGATCTGTTCCAGACAAAAGGGATTTTGAATAAGGAAGGCTATCACTCTATTTTTCAACGCCATGCCATACCCTCTATGTTCTTAACACCTGATGTTAAATGTACAGCTTTGACGAAAAGTGCAGGGCCTCACCTGTAGTATCTGGACTGCAGGTAGGTCGAGCAGACGGCCTTTGAGACATGGCTGGCGGAGCCAAAGTCAATAACCTTAACTCTGTATGGCTGCCTGGACGGGTCTATCAGCATGATGTTCTCAGGCTTCAGGTCAGCATGAATCAAACCCAAGGATTTCAGTTTCTTTAACGCTGTTGCTACCTAAGAAAACAACATACCAAGTTTTAGTTTGAATTACAGGCTGTGATTAATATTGAGGATTCTTTTAAACTGTCCTTGTGCGTAAAAGTTCACAGTGTCAGCATTACCTGCAGAAGTATTGGCCTGATTATTTTGAGTGGCAGTGGGCTGAACTTGTTCTGCTTCAGGAAGTCATAGAGGTTTTGTTCCAGCATCTCAAACACCAGACAGGTATGACTCCGGTGCTGAAAGCACTCCAGAGCGCGCACCACGTTGTGTTCATCTGCGTTCTCACTGCTCAACCGAGCAAGGATCTCCACCTGTTAACACAATGGCATATGAAGAGGTTTAAAAACACATATGACATGCACGTCTCCTAAAATAATAAACCAAATAACATTGCAATATACCGTATTTTCACACCTATAAGGCGCCATTAAAAGTCTAAAATTTTCTCCAAAGTGGACAGCACGCCTTATAATGCGGAGCGTCTTGTGTATGCGCTGAGTACCAAAACCTGACAGAGAGCCAACACGCGTTTATATAGAGAAAAGGCGGAAGTGAATGAGGACAGGCATGCGGCGAAGAAGTCGGCCAATCAGTGAAGGGTGGGCGTGTATATATAAGCGAGAGAGAGAGAGAGAAAGAGAGAGAAAAAAAAGGCTGACGTGAGTGAGGACAGGCATGCGGCGAAGAAGTCCGCCAATGAGTGAAGGTTGGACGTGTAAGTGATGCTATAGGCACGCCCCTAGCAGGTACCAGCACCTGTATAAAGTGTGGATATGTGCTTTATTGCAAAACAACTTCGGTTTTGGTTTCTAAGAACCCCCGAAATTACTTCTACAAAGAGACACGCCTACAAAGCTCAGTTCAAGCTTCAAGCCATCGGTTATGCGGAGAAACATGGGAATCGAGCAGCCGCGAGAGAATTTCAAGTCAACGAATCCATGGCTCGCAAATGGAGGAAGCAGGAGAACGAGCTTCGCCAAGTCAAAAAGACGAAGCTGAGTTTCCGTGGACAGAAGGCGAGGTGGCCCGAGTTGGAAGACCAACTGGAGCGGTGGATTGTTGATCAAAGAGCAGCCGGCAGAAGCGTCTCCACAGTCACCATTCGACTGTGTACTCACGTTTGTTCGACTGTGTACTCACGTTTTTTGATTGATCAAAAAACGTGAGTACATTGTAAGCTGGCTAAATAAAATGCAACCGAACTCAGTTTTGCTTCCGTTACCTTTTTAAAAACGTGTTTTTAGCGTGTATCCATATGTCTTAGCATGCTACCGTATGCTTCAAGCTAACGTGTTTTTAGCGTGCGTGCACGCATGCCGTATGTTTAAGCTGGCGTATGTTTTACCACTGTAAAACTGCGCCCAATAATACAGTGCGTTTTGTCTATGTGTAAAATACCAAAATAGCACCCGTTAGTGAGACTGCGCCCAACAATACGGTGCGCCGAATGGTTGCGAAAATACGGTACGTTGAATTCTCACCTCAATTTGTCCCTGACGTGCATACGATGGGTGGTTTTTCAGTATTTTGACAGCCACCACTTCATTCGTTCCCCTCTTCCAGCACTTCACCACCTGACCAAAGGTGCCACGTCCAAGGAACTCCAACACCTCATAGCTGTGTTTCGATGAGCAGAGAACCTCATGCTGAACTAACTGATAGTCACCATCTCCTGTTCCTGATCCGTTTGTGGTAGGCATCGCCTCAGTAGTGACGTTAGACCTGATTTTTGTCCCATTCGATTCATTACCAATGCCAGCTGATTCCCCAACCTTGTCTACTTTAGGGACATCATGATTCCCTGCTTGCAACATTGTACTACAAGCAGGCAGTGAAGGTAGATCAGATACCTCCTCCACTATCTGCATGGTTCCAACACAGTTGTAATCCTGCCGTAGTTCTACAACTTCACCTCTCTTCTGTTTGCATCGCTGCGTCACACCTGAGTCAAGGTTTACATGTCCCCAACCTTCTTTGTTTGTGGCCCTTTCCTCTTCTGATAGTCTCCTTTCCGGTAGTCCTTTGTTCTGACAATGAGACCTCTGATCTTTGATCTCAGCGATGGCTTTTCCTCTCCTCTCCACAGTGCGCAATCCCAACGGACGAGGCCTCCTCTCCTCAATTTCTTCAATTGCTGTTGCCCAGTGCAGTCTCTCAAAGTCATCGACTGTTGATGGGAATACGTTGTTGGGGTAAGCAATTCCGTAGTTAACGCCAATCACATAAGTTTTAGGTGGGGGTGGTATGGGAAAGGCTCTGGTGGTGTTATTACTGCTGTGGGCTTCCCCCGCGTGTTTGCTGTTATTGGTTCCTAAGGCACTTGTTTGAGCTGAGTGCATGTGTGATGGCTGAATCAAGACTTGTGAGGCCATACCTGAAAAGAGAGAAGCGAACAAAAATCAGTCCCAATAAGTCCATCAGTCACCTTTGGGAAAGAATCACTTCCGTAAAAATAAATAAATAAAAACTAAAACAAATAAAAAAGCGAAGAAGGCCTGTGACCAAAAAATAAATAAAATTAAAAAATGCTGTCTTAGTGGAAGAGGCAGGCTACACCCTAGTGCAGTGGTTCTTAACCTGGGTACGGTGAATTAGTTTCAGGGGTTTGACGGAGCCTCTGCCGTGGAGGTTAAAACACACCTGACTCACCATGTCAATTAGTTATGACATGCCCGCTTGACCATCGCTGGCTGCAGGTGATCACATTACATTGCTTGTCCAATCAGTACTGCGGGAAATATAGCTCACTCAGTAGTCAACATGTGACTGTCGTGATAGTACATTGCGTGATATTTTTAGAATACTTTAATACCTGCTAACTATGTCTAGTAAAAAAAAAAAAAAAAAAAAAGTGGTCGGACGAATATGTATGTCATTGATTCACATGGATCGCAGAACGTGATGGGACTCAGCATTCTATCTGCATGATTTGTCATGCCAAGTTGAGCAACTCTAGTGTCGAACCGGAAAAACTGAAGGAACACTTCATGAATTTTTATTTTTCAGTAATGAAGGGTTCGATGAATGTGCATATGAGCTGGTTAGGTTCAGTACCTCTAATAAGGTTAAGAACCACTGCCCTAGTGTGATAGTTTGAGAATTTTCATCACAGCTCATTTTTATTTCATGTTGATATTTGTTTTTCAATTTAGTTAGTTTTAATTAGTTTTCAGGACAGCTTTGTCAATTATTACTCGTGTTAGTTTTTTCAAAAATGCTTATTTTATTTTTCTGCTTGTTTTAATTTTTTTTTGTCTATTGTCTGCAAAATAAATATTGCGTAGGAAAAACTCTACAAAAATATTTAAAAAAATAACCATCCATCCTTCAATCACTTTCAGGTATTATATAGCAGGGATGTAACGATATCCAAACATCACAATACGATACGACGATATGAACCTCATGATAATTATCACAATATTGTCGGGAAGTTGGCATTTTTTTAGAAAAGCAAACGATACTGTATGTCACGGTATTGTTTTTAAAAATGGGGGGAAGAAAAGCACAATTCAGTATTGTGTTTATGTAAATAACAGCAGTGATGAAGAAATAGGATTGGATAGTGATCTGTGCTCCTACTGGCTCAGCGGTGCAAAGAACAGAGATGAAAGTGGACTTTTCTGAAAATTCCGGGGAAAAAAAAAAAATTGTATATATATATATATATATATATATATATATATATATAATTGTAGTCAATGCGCCATTATAAATTGCAGGTGAGCAGATTTATTTAATAATAATAA